GGAGACCCAGATGTTCTTGGAGGCAATGACTTTTCCTCTGCTTTGCCCTTTTAATTCCTTTTTCTTAACTGGAAAATAACAATCTGCTGTAATGAGTCACTCAGAGTCAAAGTACACCAAATCCATCACCGCTGTTTTTATTTATTTATTTTTTTTGTAAATGATTAAATATCACTTTCTTTCCATTTATAGCATAATCCAAGTGACGGCCTATCCATCAGCTCATCTGCGATGTTTAACTACAGCATTTTGCATTCATTATTCCCTGCTTACAGCGTTCTTTTACTAAGAGGAATAACTTAATTCTGCCTCTTGACAGCAGAGAAATTAAATGGTGAGCCATAAAGATGAGTGTCTCTCTGAAAAACAAAACACCAACTGCAGATCTACGACATCAAGCCAGCAGTATGTCACCCTAAACTAAGATGTACAAGGACAAGCTGCTGGAAAACCCTCTCATTTCACAAAGCTGAGAAATCTTCTGACCTCAAGTGCAATTTGCCAAGTGGTACAACCACTTTGGAGAGCAATTTGACAACACAGAAAGTCAACGACACAAATACCCAGGGATGCAGGAATTGTGCTGCCACGGGCAGACTCCAGAGCTTTGGCATTACGTTTTCAACTGCAATCCGCACTCGCGGATGGGGTTTGCATGGCTTTCAGAACGCACACGAGACTGCACACATGCACATAAATGCACGCACGCAAATCTTTGCATCCGTGTGTGACGGACAGCAATGCCCACTTACAGTGTTGTCCTGGGGCTCGGTTAGCACCCACAGACATCAGGACTTCCTGTTCACCCCACCGAATGTCACATAGATCCATTATATTGATGACATCATTCTCACTGGACAGAATGAGTGACAGATGACCTACCAGTGTCCTGCAGGCCTTGGAAAGAAGACCCTTGTGCTCCAGGGGGTGGGAAGATTTGGGGACCTGCACTTCAGCTCTGTGGCTTCAATGGCAACTTGCTGCCTCCAATACCACAAGGAGGGAAGCACATTGTCTGCTGGCTTTGGGGGGACTCTAGGGGAAACCCATTTCACACCCGGGAACACTGGGCCAGCCCACATACCGTGTGACATGCAAGGCTGCCAGCTTTGAGTGGGGCCAAGCACAGGAGGCGACACTAAGACCGATGGCTGCACTCGCTGCCCTCTGGAACCACCCCATGTGCCTGCAGAGACCACGCTTCCAGGGCCTGCTCCCAGGTCATGCCTGAGCACGCCCTGGTGCTAACACAAGCCTCCTTCTGTGAGCAATGGACTCTCTAGCAGAGAACTTTGGCTTGAGGATTCTCATTTCCCTGGCTGAGACGCCCTCTACTCCATCCCCTGTCCCACCTCCCCTCCTTCCAGAGGTGTCAGCTCTCACCCCACTCTGACGTCTCTCCCTCTTCTGCGGCCCCTCCCACTTATCCCTCCCGGGTGTTTCTCTCCATAGAGTTCTCCCAGTCCTTATCCTTTCTTGGCCTCGACTTCTAGGAAGAACCTAAACGGATACACTTGGTTTCAAATGTCCCAGGCTCACGCTGACATCTAAGTAAGATGACGGCGATGACATGGAGTTTGTACTCAATTCTTCTGGAACTTTGAAGAAGGGGACACATTGGTCTGCATGAAGCTTGGACAAATAATAATATTTGCCAACAGTTCATCATTTGTTTTTGCCAGTCTTTTAAGTACTTCTCGTTATCACTTCGTCTCATGCTCACGTCTACTTTATGAAACAGTAATCATAGGATCCCTCACCTCACAGCAGAAATAAATGAGGCATAAAATGTTTTGGTATCACTCTCCAAGATACACAGCTCATAAAATACAGAGGTAGCAACAAGTCCTTCTTGCTGTTGTAACACTATTGTAATTAAACAAATCTCATTTTATCCCAAGCTCAATTACTGCCTTTTAAACTTTTAGTAATAACTTTGAATGTTGTATTTGGCTATCTCCTGGTTTCTCTCTTTGATTTTTTTTTTTTTCCTGGAATCCACTCTAGTTCTTTTTGAGTCAAAGAGCCTGACGATTCTGCCCTCTTTTTTATTTTCCATGTCATCTGATCCATGAAATGCCCCACATGACCCCACATTACGGCTCCTGATGTTTTAAAACACAGACCATCCCTGTTGCTTATTATAAACTAAAACAGTGCATCTATCAGAAAGCTGAGGCGTATTTCCCAGGTTAGTCTACCCTTTTTCGTCTCTGAGTCTTAATATATGAAGGTTGGCAACAAAATCAAATCATCTAATTTTTTTTTTTTTTTACATATTTTTTTCCCTGTGATTGACGTTCTTGCAATGCCGGCCATCTGACAAAGATGGACTGAGAGCTCCATAAGTGAGGCATTTGGGGGACAGTTTCTGCACTCCCCTGGGACCTTCCCTGACGGCAAGCAAGGCCCTCAGATGACGTGCAGCACCTGAGCAGGCCCTTAGCTCTTCGAGACTACCGCTGCAGCCTGCCTGGTGCACTTGTTTTGCTGTGTTGCTCATTCATTCTGTGCTCCTGAAATTGATAGGGTGTCGCTAACTCCATCTCCCTTTTCGAGAGCATACAGGGAATTCGGCAGATATATAGATGCGTCCAATGCTGTCATTTCATCACCACGAAAAAAAAATCCATCGCATATGTAGCTTATTGCTCTTAAAAGCCAGGCATCCCCCTCCACCTATGCCCTTACAGGGGCTCCGCATTCAACTGAGTGCCACGTTTCTACACTTTGATTGTATGACGATGGTGGCTATCTGTATGGTGTCAGTTTGGTTAAGATGCAGACATATTTTCCAGGACTCATTTTCCTGTAAGTTCCAGGTGAGAGCTGGCCCCAAGAGGAATTCATGCAGGATTAGTAGGAAAGATGGGGAGGAGAAACCTCCTAGTCTCTGAAGTTCATTGTGGCTGGAAATGGTGACAGACATAGAGAAGTGATTTCCAGCTTAATGTCCTTTTCTGTGGACCACATGCTAAGGAGGGTCAGGTGCTAAGGTGGGCCACGTGCTAAGGTGGGCCACATGCTAAGGTGGGCCACGTGCTCAGGTGGGCCACGTGCTCAGGTCTTCATCCCATGATCCCTCCTGACCAGCAGCAGCCCCAGCCTCACCACTGGGTGCAGTAACTACAGACAAGTGACTTTTTTTATGGACATTCCCGCCACCTCCCTTCCTGTGTCCCACTCTAGCAGCCTCATGTGCCTGGCTTCTCAATTTCCCTCAAAGCCTCCAACTTGCCCACCTGGAAGCTCCTTTGTACTCGCGAATGACCCAGTGCTTCTGGAAGCCTTTCGAGTGACCTTTCTCTGATCTCCCAACTTCCCTTTCCATTCCGTTAATTCTTGGCTTCATCCCAACAGTAAAGTCTTACCTTTATAATAATCACTTTTCCCCCTATGTTATTCATAGCTGCTCTCCCGATTCAACCTGACACAGAGACCTTCCCTTCCATCTAATAAATGACGCACCTTCAATGCACATTGCAGGCGGAAGGCAAAGAATACCAATGCCTCCTCCCCCAGCTGCATTCCTGGTCCAGCCGGCCTGGACTTTATTGGTGTGAACTGCACAGGGAGCACCTGTATCACAGAGACCACAGGGCAGCCTCCTGGGCTCCTTTAAGAACTACTTCAAAGAGAACAGCTGTTTATTGAAAGTACATTGGAGAAGGACCAACCCAGGAAGTCTCTCAGCCTTTAATCCATGTGTGCCAGTGATAAAGAACTCAGTGATAAACAGATATTTCCTCTTGAGGAAAATAAAATCTTAACTGCTGCTGAATTCAGTACCGGTCACTTCAATTTGCTTGCGACTTTGGCTTAGAATGTAACCTACAGATGAGGGAATCTGAGCTATTCTTTCTTTTCTTTTCATTTTCCAAAGTAAAGGTCTCTCCATGAGACCAGAGGCAGTGTTTGAAAGAGGACTCATTTGCTGACCATGATTCGATTAGAGGGGAGAGCTCTTTCTCATATAAATTAAAGAAAATGACAGTGTATCATGGCAAGTGCCAAAATAACATGACTTTGGCAGATTTTTATTTTTGCATCTCATTTTATAATATCTACCATCAATGAGCATTGGGGAGGTGCAGAGGGAGCGGCGGGTCTAGTTCTGCAAGCACTTTAGTGACCTGGGCTGTCTGAGCCTGACAGGTGGGGTCGTACAGCAATTCACAGGTGTTCCTGCCTCCCCCCCACACACACACACATTCTTACGAAGGACATCAGCCGGGCTGTGAGAGTTTCGTCTGTTTGCTCCATGGATTTCTGACCCCAGATCTTCAACTGCCCGTACGGCTGAGAGCACACAGTTCTGAGCCAAAAGGGAAGACATGCTGGGGTGGAGGCGCTAGGGCTGGAAATGATGGGCCTTCACAGAGCAGGAGTGGGGCGAATATTTGGGGGAGAATTTTTATTCATATTCCCTGTTTAGAGGAGTGGAGCGTGAAGAGGTCTCTGATTCCTCCACCAGAAAAAAAAAAAAAAAAAAAAGTCAGTTCATATTTCTCAGTCAACTCAAGTCAAAAACACTTAACTACACAGTACATTTATTTTTCCGGTCACTTTGGGACCGGAAAGCAGAAGAAAGCAGCCCCGCCCTGCCACTTTAGCAGGATACAACCAGTCAGTTTATTTTGTGACTGTTCCCCAAGGCCAAGCAGGTTCGCAGTAGCCAAATACGTGAAGAATTGGGTGCTTATAATGCAATTCATTTCCAGAAACAAAATAATACTGTGGAGTGGCTGCTCTCCAGTCTGCGAGAAGCAACATTTACAGTTACTTTTCTGGCTTGTTTAGTTTTCCCAAGAGCCTTCTTCCCCCCACCCCCTGCAGGTGCCTGGAGCTGGCAGGGAAACCAGGGAGCTGCGGTCCTCCCAGCCGGGGCCACTGTCTGCACCTGGGAGAGCCCCAGGCACTGCTGGTTTGGGGAGGAGCTGAAGCTGGAGTCTGAAACTTTCCCTGCGAGGTTTCTCGTTCCCCATCAATTGGCTTCTTACCTGCAACGTTCTGGAAAGGGCGACAGAATCCTGGCTTCAAGGGGCTCAGACTTTCCCAGGGCCCTCGAGGCCTGGGCATTGGTAACCCGGCAGGCGCAGCGGGGAGGGTCTAACAGAGCATGGCGCTGGGCACAGCAGATGAAAGAACCTGCGGGTTGGCGCAGACGAGGGTGGATCCCCCACCTGCTTCTGCACTGAAAGGATTGTCGCAGCGACAGCTCTGCGGGGGACCCAAGGTTTGCTCTCCTGAGTACACAGCACGCACATTGAGGAGAGAAATCAAACAGCACAGAAAGAGCATGGATGGAAACATTCTCGCACGGTCCCAGCAACTGAGCGAAAAGCAGAGTGCGACCTGCTCTTTGGGACTCCCAGAGTAGGGAGTGGAAGAGTGCTGACCACCTGCCCCCCCGCAGGGCCTCGGGAGGGTGGAGGGCCACCTGGGTCTCTGCATCTGGCTGAATTTTTAGGGCTGAGACCCTGCCGGGCGCCGAGGAAGAGGCTGACACAGAGGAGTTTCTCAGTTGGCAGAGCGAACGAGTCCGGAGCCGTCGGCTCCTCCCCGGCGTCTTCTCCTCCCGCACCTCCACCGCGGCCTGGAGGGTGCCGGGTCTCCGCGCGCTCCAGGTCGGCCACGGATGGGTGCCCAGTCCCCGCGCGTCCTGCCCCTTGGCTCCACGCTCTCTGGAGCGGGCCTGGGCGGCGGGGCGGGGCCGGAGGTGAAGCCAGGGGACCCCAGGGGAAACGGGGGGGTTCGGAGGGTGGTGCGGGACAGGAGGTGGTGGAGCGGGTGGGTGCCAGAGGCGGTGGGGGGCGAGGAACCAAGGATGAGCGAGCCAGGGAAGGGGAGTGGGGCTGGGGGTGGGGCACAGGTGGGCTGCGGGGCGCGGGGCGGGCGGGCTATGGAGGCGGGGTTAGGGGCTCGGCCCCACCCGCTACCCAGGGGGCGGGGAAGAGACCTCCGGCTCCATCGCGAGCAGACTCGGGGAGGACAGTGCAGATACCCGGCGCAGACCCAAGGAACAGCCCCGATCGCCCACTCGGCTGCAGGGGTCCCCGGGGCAGGTGCAGCAAGCCGGGACCCGCCCTAGATGCGCTGGGAACCTTCGGCCTCCCGGCCGCGGAGCCAGGCGCTGGACGCGCCGCCCCTCCAAGGTGCGGCTGGTGCCTCCGGCGCGGGCGCTGGGCCTTTGCGAAGTTCTCCCGGATCTCTGGGTGCGTCCAGGCGGAGGGAGCCTGCACCTGGAGCTTACCTGGGGATGGGGAGGGCGCAGGTCACAGAGGGAGCGCCCGTGCAGGGCTGCTCTTCCCTGGATGGGGGGATCCCGTAGCGAGTCTTGGAGCATTTGGGGCAAGTTCGCGGCTCCCGCGTCTCCACCGCACAGCCCTGGACTGGATAAGAGGGCGTGGCTAAGAGAGACGTTCTGATGAAAGTCCCCAAACCCGGGGTTCCAAGGGGTCCCAATGCCTTTCCCCGGGTCAGCCAAAGTGTGGCAGCAGACAAGCACGAGCTCCTGCCTCGTCTTGGCCCCAAACCTCTGGTCCTGTCCTGACCCAGCAGGGACCACCTGTGTGGATGGAAGGTGGAGCGACCCCTTGGCTCCGTCCCTACAACTATGGGGTCCCGCTCCCAATGTGGGGCTGGCTGTCCAAGACCCGAAATCCCAGTTTTGAGCGCCTCGTCCCAGCCACGAGGTCCCCAGAGCCTATCTTGAACTCCGAGGAATGCACATTCACAGCCCGAGACTCTTGTCGGAGCTGGGACCACCCTGAGGCCACCAGAAATCGATTCTAAAGTAGTTCGGCATTTCCAGTGGAGATTATAGGATAGGGCCCAGTGGCGCTGGTGTCTGAGGGAGGTGGGTGCGACTCTCTTGAGGAGAACTGAGCTCCCCAGAGCCTTGTCGCTGGAGGACTTTTGCCTCCGCCCTCTCTGCGCAACAGAAATGTACAGCTCCTTGTGGTGGCAGAAATTGAATGGGCATGGCAGGGCGCAGCGTGCGGAACATTCACTAGGAGGAGACCACCTGGTATTATGGCTATTGTCATTTTTATTTTGCACAGGTGCAGCCACCTGAGCTGGGAGGCAGGGTGAGAGAGAAGGTGGGTGTTGGCCTGGTCAGGCTCTGCGCCCCAGGAGAGCCGGCAGTGGGCCTTGGCCACCCTTCCCTGCCTGACTAGGGCACCTGTCAGGGTCTCAGAGTGGAGAATCCATACTCTCTCCTAGGAAGTGTTCCAGCTAAAGTTTTGTTGTTGTTGTTGTTGTTTTGAGACAGAGTCTCACTCTGTTGCCCGGGCTAGAGTGCCTTGCTGTTAGCCTAGCTCACAGCAGCCTCGGACTCCTGGGCTCACCAGCTAAATCTCTTGAAGCCGACATTAAAATGGAAAAGTTGCTTTTGTTTTCTCAAATGGCTTATGCACAGCCTCCAGTTCCCTGTAAATCTGCCCTCTTTGAAGCTGGAAGTTCCCAGACAGTTCGCCTAGAACTTGTATTTTCACAAACATGCTCGCCGAGGTTTAAGAGAGCGTGCCCCGCTTCTCCCTGGAGCTCCCGGGGTACAAAGATGGGTTGGGAAGGGGGAATTGGTGGCTGGCAGGAGCAAGGGGATTTTTCTCTTCTGTTATTTTACAAAGGCAGAAGAGAGCTCCAGGCGCAGCGTGCAGACTAAGGCGTGGTGAGGAAGTACCGCATGAGATGGAGCTGTTTGCGATCCTGAAAGCTTCCTTGACTAGGCTGGCTTTGGGGCAGAGGCCTGACTGGAGTTGAAACTGGACTAAGCCTGGTGCAAGGGAACCATAGACAGATGGCCAGGTGGCTCAAGCGGAGGGAGGGAGGGGGAGGGGAGGGCAGCCCCAGGAGGACCCCTAGAGGCCAAGCGTGGCTGAGGCTGAGGCTGAGGTTGCCCCACCTCAGTATCCTTTCTCCCTTCTCTTCCTCTGGCATAGAAATCTTGATTTTTAGCTTGACAGAATAATGACTATATTTTCCAGATTTTTAAAAATCTTAAAGTAGAAAAAAAAATGTATTTTCCAGATTTTTTTTTAAATCTTAAAGTAAACAACAAAAATTTTTTTTTTTTTTTAAATCTCAGCATCTATCTTGGACCACAAAGTGATCTTGGGCATGGAAATTCTGCACAGGGAAACAACAAGAGAAGAGAATCCAGGTCTCTGATACTAGACGGGCTGATTGCCCCTACATTTCACTGGTAAGAGAGATAAATGAAACTTTTTTCCCTTTTTAAGGCACCGCATTTTGGAGTCCTGTTTGATATCCAAAAGTAAGAAGTTCAAATTTGATTCTAACCTAGAGGAGGTGTTTGGAGGGTTTTAAGCCAAGGAGGTACGCGCCTTGTTCACGATTTTAAAGGCTGGCTTTGGCCACGATGAGGGATCAGGCACTAAGAGCCCCAGGGTGGAGGAAGGACAGCTGGTTGAGGGCTCCCGCAGTTATCCAGGTAGAAGGTGGCCGGTGGGTGGAGGTGGTGGAGGGAGTGGGAAGTGTGGGAACTGCAGGTGGATGGACAAAGGCAAACATCCTGGGAGAATGGAGAGGTGGGAGTGGCCATGTTACAGTTTGCAGTTCGCCTTCAGAGCAATGGGAAGTTACATGAAGAACACCAATCTTGAGTTTTAGAAAGTGACAACTTGATGGGAAGAGCCCACCGTGACCACTGGGAGACTGGTGAAGAGGCACTTGAAGTGGTCCATGAGAGATCCCGTAGCCATGGGAAACCCCGGAGAGAGTCTTAGGCTATGAACATGGTAAATATGTTTTTTTGTTTTTTTTTTTTTACAGGCCTGTGTGAATTTTTCTGTGTACTTTATGGATTTCCAAGAAACCCTTGGGTAGTTCCCTTCTTTTTCTTCTCACTTTACATAGGTTTTCTGGGCATTTGTGTACGCATGTGTGTGTAAATAATAGTGTGCAAAATGTACTTGCTGCATATTATTGGCTCTTGGGGAACTGTTTCAATCTGCCTCTTCAATACTTTGTAATGGCCTCATGATGAATTGTGTTACAAGTGGTTTTCAAGATACTCAGAGACGGTGCTAATCAGAGATAGTGTCACAAGATGCGTATTGTGATACTATGTTTCCGGCGGGTGGGATATTGTTCTAAGACTATTTCATCAAATCTCTTCTCAACATAGAACATACCATTTATCTCTCTGTAAGTGCCATTAAGAAAAAGTTCCTACCTCTATTGTGTTTTAAGATAATGATCACGGTCATTTAGATGAAGAATTTTAAAACTGCCCTAACAATAAGCAGGAAGATGATGAGCTATGAAACGATGCCACCTGTATAGGCTAGGTGTGCTTTATTTTTACTTGTGCAAAATTGGGATCATTTCTGTCTCAGTGTTCTAAATCCACAAATCTCTTTGCAAAGAATTGATCACTCCTCTTTTTTGTTCTTAGAGTATTTTATTTAAACTTCTAGTGTAGTGCTTATGCCAAGATATGACATTTAACGCATCTGTGCTTTTTTGTTCCATGGTGAGCTCTTTGCAGGCCGGAATTCTGGCTTGGTGCGGGACTTGTGAGCTCTCATTAAGTGCCTATTGACTTGAATCGAGTTTGTAACACAGTGCAAGTAAATCTGTTACTACCTCCAGAGTCCCTGGTGGTGATTTTTGTTTCCTCTGTGACAATATTGTTGCATTTGCTACTTATCAAGTGTATCAGATAGTTTTATCCAAATAGAAAAGCCGCAACCTTTAAACAGTGATTGTGCTTTATTGGGTTTTGATAGAGGAGCTTCCTTCCCGCCCCTGGGTTGGAATGTCAGGATCAATCCAGGGAACTCTTTCTCCAAAGGCAAGAAGTTATAAGGTCAGCCAGTGAAAGTGGTCATTATAAATCATTTTGGTTTGGAAATTGGTGATTTATAGGCCCTACTCATCACTCTGATTGAGTAAAAATGTCTAAGGGCACTGGTTTGTTGTTTTTTTTTTTCTCTCTGAAATTTGCAGGGATCTTGCTTGGGAATTAAAGCACCCACTCTAGGAAGCCGGGAGTAAAATGGCAAGCGCAGTGGTCCCAAAGACAGGAGTTTCTTCAAAGCCCTTACCTCCTCTTCCACTCACCTCCTACACTTGTGTCCTTGCTCAAGGGTTTATGGCCACCTGGGACTAACATTGGCTCTTTGAAAAACAAGACTTATTCCCATCTTGCCACTTCTTTCTTCACTGTCAGGCTTGAAAGCCCTTCCTTCTGATGTTGCCTGTCTGGTTTCTCCTCATTCCCTGGGTCTCACCTTTCCAGGGAAGCCTTCTCTGAATGGTCTGAAGACTTCCCACACCAGTCTTTTCTTGTCCCATGCCCAGTGTCACTGTCTCCAGAGCATTCATGCCAATCCAATTTAATCTTAGTTTTGCTTATATTTAAAACGTGTTTATGTATCTATTACCTGAGTTTCCTGCTAGACTATCAGCACCACGAGAACAAAGAGTGAGCCAGAGAACCCACCCTGGATCCTCGGTGCCCCGGACAGTGCCTGCTTTGTCGTCGAATGACTTCACCTTCGGATCTGAGATCCAGTAGTTAATTCTTGGACCACGGGTATAGGCCGGTACCCTAGAGGAGGAAGGGATAAAATGGCATTTTGTATGTGTGATGGACACACCCTGTGTTGGTGACCACCAATGATTCCTGCCTCCTTAAGTTCATGCCTTTAAATAATCCCCCCACCTTGAGTCTGAGGGGCACCTGGGCATCGCTAATTGCTCTAATAGAATATGGTAAAGACGATGGGCTATCACTTTTATTATATATATATATATGTATATACACACACACACATGTACACACATATGTGTGCACGTGTATGTATATACATATATAAAAGATCTATATTTATATAGATCCATCTTATAAAATATATTTAATTACATATGTAAATTTACATTTACATATGTAAATTCATATAATCAATGACTAACTCTCGTCATGGTCTTGGGGAAGCACGCACTATGTTTTGTGATGTTGTGAACCGCCGATAGAGAGAGCCACAAGACAGGGGACTGCAGGTGCCCTCTGGGAGCTGAGACCCTTATTTCTACAACCACAGGAAACTAAGTTCTGCCAACAACCACATGGGATTTGAAGAAGATCTTGAGTCTCCAGACGAGAGTGCCTCCTGAGCAACACTGTGATTGCAACCTGGTCTAAGACCCTGGGCTGAGGACCCAGTTAGCCCAGACCTGGACTCGTGGACAGCAGAAACATGGAGATATAATCATAAACGTATGTTGTTCTGAGTCGTTTGCTGTTTGGTAATTTGCTATGCAGCCACAGAGAACTATCACAGCATGTATCCTTCCATTCAGAAGTGATTTGTTAATTCAAAACTCAGAATCCTTCATCCTTATGCTTTTTAATGACAGTTGTGTGTATGTAGACAGATAGAAGTGTCTGTGTGTGTTTGCGTGCATATTTGTTCACCAATTAGAAAATTTCAAGAGGACAGAATAATTTTTTGAAACAGCTTCAATTGTTGGTGCCACTTCTTAGTAACCTGCACCCTGCCCTTTCATTTCAGCCTGGAGTTGCACCTGCTTGCCGAGTGTGTGGAACTGTGCTTGGCCATCTGTAACCTTTTGGTGCTCAATAATTTATTATAATTACAGGCTGTTAAAGATGGCAATAAAAGAAAAAAAAGAGAGAGAATTGTATCTGGAATTATACATGAAAATGAGTACTTATGTTTAATGTTTTTAATGGGAGAATCTTGTTTTATGGTGGCTTCATGTTTCAGAAAAAAGAAAAAAGCTGGGGTTAAAAAAAGAGATATACCAACAGTCTCGGATGTCACATTTTAACTGAGCAAGTCACTATGGTTGTAGAGCAGATTCTGAATGTGAGAATTAGGTTTATTAAATCAACGTCTGGCTGGATTATTCACATGCACATACAGTTTCTGCCATTTTTACCTTGGTTCACATAGTACAGTATACGGTATGTATTTCTTGGCATAAAATTTCTGAAATAATTTTTGTAATAATTAAAATTTATGCACAGATGGAAAATACATGAAATCCCCTCACAGTGACTTTTGAGGTCAGAAAAATCTTATTAGGTGCTATGCTATTTAGACTGCTCTGTGGAAGAAATGTTATGTCTGTTATCTGATTTTAAGCTATGCTAAATAATGGAC